AACTCCGAAAGAAAGTTCTCCGGCGAATCGCAAGACGTGGTTCAGCCGTGGAAGCAAATGGGCAGAGATCACGTGGCGCAAATCGAAATCGCCACCTTCAAAAGTCACCTGTCCGTGGATGACGGACTGACAATTCAATAAGCAGCATTATACACTGCCTATTACCGCACTGAAGATGCCACCTAGCATGGTGGTGAAACATATGCGATCTACAAACCAAGCTCGGAAAATCGATCAACTGATGAGCAGGAGGAGAGGTGGCTAAGCGATGACTTGGTCGAGAGGAATGTGGGCCCTCACTTCGAAGCTGGCCTCAGTTGGAGCGTCTCGGCTTCATGGTTGGGGTCCGAAAGACGATGAACACCTTTGGCTGGACACACTTGCTGATATGGCCAGGAGCCGACCTCAATGGCGTTCGTGCTGTGAGTTTCTTTGTAACACCCCATCCAGCTACGATCTTAATATTTAACATTTCATAATTTTCATAGTAAAATATTTTTCTGCTGCATAGTAGCCGGTAGGTAGCTTACCGGAAAGATATCCATCCGTTACCGGTAGCTCAGCTGACTTGCACCTGTTGCATTTTATTCCCTTTTTGTTTTTAGGTATTGCGGCACAGTAGCTGAGGTGTTTCCCACCTCTAGCTAACGTGTATAGTATTATTATTATTAGTAGTAGTATTATTGTTAACTGCCTAGGTTGTCTAGGTCTTGTCTTTTGTATACCCGTTGACCGGCTTCCTCGTCGTTCATTATACGTTGTGGCTGCACCAAGTTTGGGGGAAACCGCGAGGTGGCTTGTCCATGATGTGGCATAGAGGTATGAAAAAGCTGACTGGGAAACATGGTCAGACCGGTGCGTGCCATCTTCGGGGACGAGAGCCTCGGAATGGTCCACACCAATGTTTGGAGACCGTACCAGACATGGCGCAATCACGTAGTCAGTGGTGTACCTGTATTCGGTTTCTGTCATCTGGTTGTTAATTGTTGTTCCATTATGAACAACTTAATGCACTTTCTACTTGTTTTTATTTTCTTTACATTCTATTCGTATTTAACACATCATCTTGACGTTGTTGTTTACTGTTACTCTTGTGATGTGCGTGTTGCCAACTGTATCGACCGCACTTTCGTGCTCGGATCATAGTTGTTTAACCGAACTGGGATGTTGTTGAGCAAGGATGATAACTGGAAAATGCCGTGGTACCCGACTTGGCGATTTCTACTTTTTGGCCTCATTCAGCACCTTGCGGCATCATCACAAAGATCACGTGACCGTTGCGGATGAAAAGACAATGGGATGCCCAAACTGTAAGTGTTGCGATTGATTTCATGGCTTCAGTTCGACCGGTGACGCATTTGTCTCAGAGAATATTGCTTCTTTTGCTGTATGTGTGGAGGATCTTGGAAACTCGGAGAATAAGGGCAGGTTCCGCAAATTCGTCAGAGACTGACTCTGGAGGTCCGTCGCATCAGAGACGCAAGGTGGTCGGAAATGTTGGAATGCTACGATCTAGAACACCAGCGTAAGTAGTTCTCTGACTCCTTGAAGTCAGTGTACGTGGTCTCTTTGCAGCCAATGAGTATGCTGGTGGACGCTTATTCCTGGGCACATACTGCATTAATGGCGTTATCACTTTGACTATCTCTTGTACAACCGTTCAGAGATTAACTGCGATTCCTTACATGGGCTGCAACAGCAACATATGAAAGACGATCTCACAGACACATCGACACTACAGAAAGCGCAGAGATCACCTACGAAAACACGGATTGACTAGTGCACCAGTATTGATCGCTACTGCCAGAAGTGCTGAAAATGGCGGGTCCGTGATGCTACATGTTGCACCAATTAGTGGAAAGGTGTGGCTTGCAGAACAGCTGCCAGCTGCGCTGAAGAATGCCTTTGTGATACCATTGGACAAGGACAAAGAAGGTGAGCAATGTGCTTACATTTGCCGTGGCACCAAGTTAGTGAGTTGCGTTGGGAATGAGATTGCTCGGATTCCGCTCAACCGCCTCGTCATTTAGGTCATTGAACTAAAAGTGGCTGGAGACTAGTGTGGCTTCAGTCCGAGCCGAATCACGGCAGGTATGGTGTTCGCGATTCTACAGTTTCAAGAGAAGTGCTGTGAACGAAACCAGCCATTATACTTGCGGTTCAGCGACTTCATTAAGGTATTTAACGTGATGAAGCGCGAAGTACTGTGACTGGTTCTGAGTAAGTTTGATAGTCCCTTCACAGTGGTATGCGAGTGAGGGTGCGGCTGTTAAACAAACCTTGAATGACTGATGTTGTCTTTGTTGTGAAGCAAGGTTGTGTCTTAGCTGCTTTCTTCTTTTACTATCTTAGGGCTGTGACGTCCAGTCCTTTCATTACTTATGAATACGTCGTCAGTCTCGACCGTCACGTCGATGGTCGGCTACGGAACATCCATCGTTTTGGGCGAAAATGCAAGTGTGTGAAGACCATTCGGATGCTGCTGATTGTAGACGACATCGCACTGTTTGCATGCTGCAAGGAATAACTACTGATTTCGCCTCGGTGGCGGTCGAGTTCTGAATCACCGTCAGCACAAGCACGACTGCGACTTTTTCAACAATCACCAGGAATGAAATTCATGCACTGCACTCCAATCAAGATTGCTGATAAAGTTTTGGAGGGCTCACTAAAATGTTGCTACAGCGAGAGCAAAAGGTCAACGAACCCGCATATGACTTGCACATCCGCCTATCGAAGGCGAGTTCTGCGTTTTTCAAGTTGGAACCAACGGTCTGGAAGAAAAGTCACCCGACATTTGAGAGCAAGTTGCCGTTTACCAGTCTGTGGTGATGTCGGCTCTTCTTTACGGTAACGAAACACTGGCGCTATACACCAATATCAGCTTCGTGGAACGATTTCAATAGCAATACCTGTGTCGCATTCCATGCATCGCATGGTGTGACAGATTTCCTGATACGGAAGTGCTCTACTGAAGCAGCATGTACGCATTGGATTGTGTTCTGTTACTGCGACATCTGAGCTGGCTCGGACAGGTCCACCGCTTGAATTTGAATAGAGTTTTTAAACATCTACTATGCGGCCAACCTTATACGGGTAAGCGGAACGCTGGAAAATCGGAGCTGTGCTACCAAGTTATTACCAAAATGAATTTATCACGAGCTACTATTGATCTTGTGTTGAGAAGCATTGACAATGGGTCGTCGTCAATGACGTGATCCCTCCAAGTAAGCTGTTGCTCAGGTTCATGGGAAAACTGTTGCACCAGGAGGAAAGATGCTGTTTGTGCGAGCTTCAGATGCCGACAGAGTCCGATCGGTTGACATCAGGCACCTGGTGCAGTGGTACATGCAGTCTTGTGTGCCCCCGCTCAGCCGGTCTGGTAACCTGTAACTTGGTCACGAGCGGCCAATATCGACTCGATGACTCGTAAGTTAACTGGGTGTCAGCGTTTGAAAAGTGCGGTACTTCCGTTCTCATTCCCTAACCCAAGTCCATAATACGACAGATGTGACACGTGTGCTGCATCGTCAACAAACTTGAGCTGTACATGTACGTGTGTGTATATGTTCTTGCATTGGCCTAGTGTGTCATTAGTGAGGCCACTCGGGGCCACTACCGAAGCAACGACGGGTCCTGTAGAGAACAAAGGCAGAACCGGCACAGCGTTTGTTGGTACGCTGCATTCGATTTACTAAACGCATACTTGCATGCTGACTCTCCTTATTATTGCAGGTGGTTGGCTTGCTATATTGTCCTAATGCATTTTTTATTTATATTAATATCTACCTGAACTATGTACTAACTTGCACATGTCGCGTAAGCTAATTGCAGTTAATTTCGTTAAAATTTTCGCGGTTGTAGCATTTTATTCAGATATATTTTCTGACGTATTGAACCATTCGCGGATTTTTGCAACCCATTTCTTTCATACACGAATTTAGTGAAGAGTTATGTCACCGTATCTGCACGCATTATTCGATTTATTTTGTTTGATATCATCGTTTCAAGTGGTTGGCTGTTGTTTGATATCCCGGGTATGGCTGTGCTTGAGGTGCATGTTGACAAGGTGCCTACCTATCTATTACCCACTAATTCAATAACACTGGCTCTAGGAGACAGTTGGTCGATGCTGAAGGTGACCGGGTGCACGGTCCTTGTGGCCGTGCTAAGCTCGAAGAGTGGTTCCATGCACTCAGTGTGGAGCGGGCTACGGTCCAGCTACCGCCTTGTGTGCGCTTGATTCCCAAATACAGCGCGCTTGTGTTTGCCTATGAAGGAGTGTGCGCTGTCTCCGTTGATGAAACGTGGCTTCAATCCACATACCTCCCGGTCTTATTCCTTAGGGTTTACAGTGTATGTGGTGTGTGTGAATGGATCTGTGTGTGTTGCAGCGCAAGCCACCCATGGTCTCTCTGTAGGCGCAGGCGTCCCGTGGCTGGCCACAGTGACAGGTGAATCCGAAACCGGATACTGCCAACCATGTTCTCGCATGCTTGACGGCCTTTTCGGTTGATATCTGGCTGCGCTTGATCCAAAGGTTATCGAGATGTCTACCTGTCGAAAACAACTACATCGATTATTGTCTCTAGGAAATTGTTTATGGTGGCTGGGGTTGATGGGGTGCACGATATTAGGCCAAAGGAGTGTTTCCATCCCATGTAGAACGGGCTACTGCCCGTGCATTGCCCCGTGTGCATCTGATATGCATGTTTCCCACTGTACAGATGAGTGACGTGCATGTTGAAAGAGTGTGGGCCGACTCCTAATTAATCGTGACTCCCATCCACACGCCCCCCAGTTTTATTTCTCCATTTTTGCACTGCTCATGGGGTGTGTAGATGGAGCTGTGGGTGGCTCCATGTGAGACACCCATGGTCCCTCAGTGGACGAATGTGCGCTGTGCCTGTTCGCAGTCGCAGTGACAGGTGATTCCAGAAGCAGACGCTGCCATCCATATGTTGGTTAGCAACTGCTTCGAGTAGACAAGATCGTGCTGTGGTCGTCAACAATTATATTTAATGCAACACCGCTTACATTCGTTACTATGCGCAATCTTATTCTACTAGGCTCTTCACTTGGTTTTTGACCTTGGAGCTAGGTCATGTTCTCAGGATGATGGAATTGTTAATATCTTGGCCAATACAATTTATCCATTGTGGCTGTTTAGTGAAAGTTGCTTCCAGACCACTTTTTACGTTGTTGACATCCATATTCTTTGGTTTTCGGCTTCGTGAGGTTACTTTGGGTACCGTCATTTTTACTTTTTCACACACTTGTTAACGGGTGGCGTAGATCAATCTCCAAGATTAATGGAACTGAATGTCTGTCCACCTTGACGCCTGTTCCATGTCTTGAATCCCTTTTGTCGACATTTTTCCCCATCAACTCTTTCACTGGCTTCATCGAACCGTGTGTAAATAGACGGCATCCACACGCACTTACCAAGACGGTTGTTTGTTTCTTTTCCTGCCTGTTATTACGCCCTGTTTTTCTGTTCATGTGTGTATCATTGGACCTTTCCCCGTTTTCCTTGCTACTTTTGGAGCGCATTCGGACTATAGAGTTGGATAGTTGTTTCTTAGGGAATTCGAACTCGCACAGTGTTCTACGAATGCGCCTGAGTACAGCTTGCTGATTGACATAGGTCCGTAGAACTTCACCACATATTCCTGGTTCGGTGGAAGTAAGCTTTTCTGTTGAAGAGCGAAATGAAGTTTTTGTACAAGGTACCTCTTCATTCGTTTTGAATTGCTTTTGTATTGATGATTCTGCAGCACATTCACTATATCCCGAACTGAGTTGGTGCGTTACATTCTTTTGTTCGCATGCGTTTTTGGATCGCATTCTCCACCGTTTGTAAGTAACCTCCTCACATTCAGAGCCAGAGATAGAGCTTGATTTTGATGACTTGAGAGTTTTCCACTTCGCAGCCTAAAATGATACACCGTGGTAACCATAATTATTTCTCGCTATTTTGCATCCAGAGCCAGTATGAGCATGGTGACTAAAGTCGCGTACTTCAACTTACTGATACTCCTTGGAATGAGGTCGAACATGGGATTGACACACGATACTCCGCAATGCTACCGCGCTTCTGTTCGCGTGAATTTGCGGCGCTCCTTGGCCTAGTTCCTTCTATGATGCGTTTATCCACCGTGATTCCGTTGATGCGAGCAATCTGACGGAGCGTCGCCAAATATTTTTCCTTATTCATCATAAACGTCGGCATGCGTATTGGAGCCATTATGGCACAACGACGTGCTCTTTCTAGCTCATCCAGAGTGAGTTTACCGGCCATCAAGACGTAGAAGTCAATATTGGCCTGTTGGCGTAGTATTGTAACTGCACCTGCAAGATAACATAGACATTAGATTTGTTTGCTTGTATTTGAACGGCCACATCTTTGTTCACAACGATTGCCTGATGGTCTTTTAAGAACACATTTTCTATGCATTTGTTAATCCAACTGTAGCCAAAGCTACTTGCGCTATGAATGACAGTTATACGGTATGAGTACCTTCGAAGTATCTTTGATCTTTTCCGTATCCCCCACAGCGATCCTGGCTAGGCAGGCACCTTTTGATCCTCATGCAGTGTTTCCATCTCTGTTCTTCATCTGCAACGTACTTTCCAAGGTGCTTAAAAAGGTCCTTAAACGGTAAGTATTCTGCCATACACGAACCATCTGGAAGTGAATTGCAACGGCAGAGGCTTTAGTTGTCGTTATGATCGATATCATTTGAGCGTAACCACACAACTTAGGACAGAGACTTATCAACCATTCGGTTAGCTACGAACGAAATTGTATTTGATTTTATCACCTCGCCAGGTCAGATCAAATTGAAGCATGTTTTGCACATCAGGATTGACATGTTTTCACCATTTACACTATTACTGCGCATTTACGTGAACATAAACCAAAAGTGTGCTGACCAAATGTAAAATTAAAACTATATATCACAACTGTATTGGTGTTTTCCTTTTGGTGACCTACAAGCGTAACAATCGCGGTTGAACGAAGTTACTATGCGACACTGTATAGAAAATAAAAATCTAATTTTTGATTGTGTAGAAGAGAGAGAGAGCATATGATGGAGTATTACTTGGCTAGGTAGAGGGTACTTTGGGAACTTGAAGGACAATAATGCATGCATCTGGCTATTCGCTGATTACGACAAAATCACACTATGCCCCGAAATTTGCTTCGTTGATCGTGCGCTCGGGGGATCAGGAAGATGGCAGGAGAAATTCGTAGAATGCATGCAGCTGCTGACTTTAAAATTGAGCCGCTTGGACCCTGCCATCAGTCCACATGCACGCAAGGTCCGAGCAACGCTCCTGAAACCTCAGGACTCTAAATGCTCACGGAAATTGATAAATGATCTTGTAGATGCAGGAGCCTAGGTACTTGATAGCGCAAATTATGTGGGTCAGAACAAGAAATCCCTCTCATGCACAATCCGAACTGCAAACAATGCTTCACTCACAAATCATGGGAGCAATAAGCATAGCTCTGATGTATGCCATCACTTAACTCTTACCAATACTGAGACATGCTGGACGTTTTGACTCCCACTGTTCTCCAGAAACTGGTGCGGACAAGCAACCTCGTCCCCGACATCATTCGTTTTGTGGGTGTTACACCAGTGAAATGTGCTGACTTGCATAAGCAATTGCGGGCGGAGTGATGGAATGGTTATCTCAAAGAAGCGACCAGCCGGTTCTCAACTGGGAGTAAAAGCCCCTACAACACGAGGAAGGTACCAGATCACTGTGATGCAGATTAGCTGAACGATTTTTCTTTTGGTCAGAATCAGTTTCTGTCTACCCAACAATGCCCTTGCTCTTCAGGGAATTCCTGGCACGGAGTCAACAGCGCCTATGCTACCAGTAGATTGTCTATCACAAGCATATTATCCAAGCATACGAACCAGGCCCATGGTTTATAAGATCATAAAAACAGTGTACAACAAAGTACATATTGAAGTGGTTAAGTTTCTACAACCACCGGCTTCCTATTCTTTCTTCCTCTTACCCGGCTTTACTGACCCCAAAGTTACCACCAGCAACTGTGTACTAGGGATGAAGCCAACTGAACACAACTCTACATTCTCCGTCTTCATCGTCAATGTTCTTGTTGATCTTACTGCTGTTGACTTTTATATTTCACCTGTTTAGGTGCCCCTCTTGTACTAGTCTCGTGTGAGTATCACAACTAACATTCGATATGACTAAATAGACCTGAGCAATGCTGCCGGCACTAAGTAACAAAAAGGTTGTACATACTTTATACATATGTTAAGAACATTCTTATTATTAAACATCATCTATTCAGCGTTTCGTATTATCAAGGGGTTTCCCAGTCCCGATAAAGTAGAGGCATAGCATAGAGAGGTGAGGCGGACGGTCCTCCCCGGCCGGCACGTGAGAGGGGGGCAGCATTTTTAGTACGGATGGTTCTCTATTACCAAGACTAAATTCATCAAAATTTATTCCACGACTGAAGTGGTAAAAACGAAGGATGATAATCTTATTGTAAACGAAGATGAAAGTGGTGCTACAACTTTTGAAAGCTGGTCAACAGAAAGCGATATTGATAGCATAGATGCAGCGTGAAATTTTTGTAATGTTGCTGCAAAAGAAGCGCGCGAAGCTGATGAATTGGAAATGCAACCACACTTTTGCACGCAGATCAACCGATTATATGGATGTCTGCCGGTAAAATTGACCAGGAAATTCTCACTATGCTTGTCAGGCTCGGATCTACTGTCTTGCAAAATTTCGCTCATGAATTTAATAAGTGGTGTTACCTGGAACGAATGCAAAGCTGCGTTTAAGAAGCTAACAATAAGTGTTTTTTCTGGATTTGCGAAACGGTGAGCAAAGGTTGTGTACACCGATGATGTATTCTCCTTCAAAAGAGACCCTGCTTGGTCTCGACTGAAGGATGTCTCAACGGGATAGTCTAGTTGTTTGACTGGTGGAAACTAAATCCAAAAGAGTGTAAACACGAAGCTAGTAAATTGCATGCTCAGTCATTCCTCAACCACAATGAGCTAGCGATTTGGCTTATTGAAGGAAAGGCACTTGACGAAATGGAGCAACTAGTTGTAGCAAGGTGATGGAGTGAAATTTTAGCTAGGATACTTGATTTCGTTAGATTTCTCACCAAGCAAAGCAAGGCATTGTGTGGTCATTGAGAAGACATCCAGCATGAAAAGGAGGCAGAAATATAGAGAAATTTTCAGAATTTGTACATTAGTTGGCCAAGTATGAGTCAGTTCTTCACAAACGTTTCGTGACAGTTCAGCTGGGAAGGAAAATCAGTATCTTTTCTTTGTCGCCAAAGGTTCAAAATGAATTAGTGAGCATTTTGATTAATCACTTGAGAAAGCAAATCATAGATCAGGTCAAGGAAAGCAAGTATTTTTGCTACGTTTTCGTTAGCACTCGCGATGTATCTCACACAATTCAGATGGAGGAAAATGAACTAATGTTAGAGGAATAATTTCTCAGCTTCCTTGAGACCAATTGTTGCACTTGACCACCAACGTCAACACATATGCGCTTGACGCGCGTGGTCCCGGGTCATTTGGAATAATTCTCACTATCTTCTCGCAACGTACTCACCGTATGCTCATTCGAACGGGATTTACCAGCTCTACACATTGCTCCATCATACGTGGAATTATCTTTTTACCACTAAAGACCTAACCATCGCTAACGGATTTGGCTGTCATACATGATTGAACACAAGCGGATATTTCATTCACTTTCTGTCCATTTCCCTTCTGTGTAACACCATTCGGTGCAGAAATCTCGATTCAGTTCGAAAATCCTAAGCCTGTTCCAATTCGCTGTTTCCCAACGCACCTGTGAAGGAAGTTGTGATCTCTCAATCTGTGTTCAGCGTTGTGTTTAGATTCATTTACTAGGTCCCTAACCAGACGGGCCAAGCATCGATCGACAAACCGATCAACACTGCAACATGTGCTTACAAGGGATCACTGCTCACAGCAGTCGCGTCACGCTGACTCATGCTTATCCTTGACGCGGGAAGCTGCCCTAAATTAGCATCCGACAAACGCGTGACCTTTAAACTGCGAGACCTCGGCGAAGAAATCTCATGTTAAGGGCAAGTGCATTGTGTGCTAAATTGGTGAAGAGTGGGCTAGTTTGCAGCACCTGCTTGTAAACCTATCACACAAAATGCTTTGGGACTGAGACGATAAAAACGAGGCGGTACAATAACACGACCGAGGCGTTTTGGTTCTGCCCAGTATGCAGTGCTACCCCATCTCATTAGAATACCAACGGCTTCGCGGAGATCTTACTCTCACATACCGGATACTAACCGAAAGCGAGCATCCATGTACATCACTGTTGACTCTAGCCCCATACAAACAAAACCGAGGCAACCACCTGAAACTAATGACACAACACTCACGTTTGAATTGTAGAAAGTATTTTTTTCTCACTTAGAATCCATTCTCACTGGAATGCATTACCAAACTATGTGGTGAACGCACCAGACATGACGACATTCGAAAGAATCTCAGATTTTCATCTAAGTGATAAACGATACACAACACTTTGTTACATTGCAATGATTTAACCACTGATACTTTACGTTCCACGCTGGAACATTTTGATTTTAATTTTCTTTTGCATATCCATCCTGTGGGTCTTGTAAAGTTATGCTTTTTATCCCATCATACACCATTGAACCATTGAAGTGGTGGGCGCCATGGTTACATCTACGAAAAGGAAACGGACCTGCACTTGCATGTGAAAATTACACCTCAAATTTCCCATTCAGGCCGAAGAAGAGAGCCTGGCGTCCAAACCCTACACTAACGACTCAGTCTCAATCAGTACCAACTCCCTTCTCTCGCATAAGTAAAAACATTGTATGCAGCGTTCCTGCTTCAACTTCTGTACAGGGTGTTACACCTAGTAGTTTGTTCGCTATACAGGAGACCCTAAGCTGTAATCAACCAGCCATGGTGAGGAAGCTGGTAACATACGCATCGGTTGCCGCCAAGTAAACACCGGAAATAGCACCGTTAACCTTGGTGGCCGGGCTGGAGAAAACTAAAATGTCGCAGCACAGATGGCCCCCAACAGTGCCAACAGTTCACAACTTCACCAGAAGCACGGGAAACTAAGGTTCCAAAACCAGTAGGCACCAGACGGAACCATGGTACCTTGACCCTTGTGTGCACTAACCTCCCCGAATCCAAATCCAAGACAATTAAGGGTAGGCTAACAGACGATCGAAATCAATGAAGTTCTATCTGCACGGCGATTGGTGTCCATGCCGATCCCACAACATTAAAACTCATCTCGCGTCACCCAAACGCATTGCACTACGGTGAACCCCGGTTACTTCAGGTAACAGTAAAATCGGTGGATGAGGCAGAGGCCGTTCTGCTCCCTGAGTATCGACTCCGCAACACCTCAACTGAAGTGCGTATACTACCCAAAATTCCGTGGAAAAAATGTGCAGCGGATCCAACTAACAGAGAGGAACAGAAAATGAACAGATAAGAAAACTGTGATTACTCACGGTGTTTCTGAGCGTACTGATTCTTCTTCCGACAATGCGCAGGTACACGACCGGGAGCAATGGCACTACATCCGGGAGGCTCTTTCTCTCAAAAATGTCGTGGCCACCTCGTTGAC